CACATCAGAAATCATGGCAACCCCCGTTTTCTTCCACCTGATCGAGAGCTGCTTTCAGCAGCAAAAAATGTCTTCAACAAACCACCGGTTGATTATCAACCTACGATGCAGTTTGAAAAAAGGGAAACTATAAACCCGTACCCAGTAAGCGGTCTTCAGAATTCACATGGTATGGCTCCGGGGAATTCTTCCTCTACATCGTGTCAGCCGTGCACATGTAGACATGCGTGTTTTCGGCACCACTGACGCACTCACCTGAGGTAGAATATGACAACATAGCTGAGCCCGAGGATCATGGCATCTCACATAACTTGAGGGATTTCGGACAGGATGCAGCCACTTCACCCCCTGACCAGCACGACGTAAGTGACCATGTCGCTAGTTTATCAAGTAGCTCTTTTTTAAGTGAAACTACAGTCTATTGCCAAAATTTTAACCGTATGCGTAGTGCGTATAAAATAAATGAAATTCAAAATAAAATAAGCGGATGCACATATGATATAATAATTGGAACAGAAACTAGTTGGTCTGATAGCATTAATAGCGAAGAGGTCTTTGGTAGTAAATATTGTGTTTTTCGATGTGACCGCGATTTATCATTATCAGGTAAAAAATCAGGTGGTGGTGTACTTATTGCTGTGAATGCTACATTTCAAGCTGAACAAATTGTTAGTGAAAGCCAAAAAGAATTTGAAGATGTGTGGGTTAAAATTTTAATAAACGACGAAGAACATCTTTTCGCTTCTGTCTACTTTCCTCCACACTTTTCCAAAAAACCAGCTTACGAAAAGTTTTTCACTGCTGCAGAACTGAAAATTCAAAGAGAAGATCCAAGAACCAAAATTCATATTTATGGAGATTTTAACCAGAATACTGTTAATTTTATACAGGATAGTGATAATGATTCTCTGTTGTTACCAATTGTAGGAGAAAACGATACTTTGCAATTCATCTTTGATAAAAGCAGCCACTTGGGACTTCATCAAATTAACCATGTTCGTAACCAGCTCAATTCCTATTTGGATCTTATGTTTACTAATTGTACAGAAGATTTTTGTATTGTAGAAGCAGCAGTTCCATTATGGAAGAATGAAAAATTTCATACGGCTATTGAATACTCAGTGTTCACAGACTCGCATCGGTCACGCCCAAGCGTTGTTGATTTTGAATTAGTTTATGATTTTAAAAATGAAAATGTTCCTGAATTTAACAACAGACTGAATAACATAAGTTGGCAAAACCTTTTAAAAGATGAAAACAACATGGACAAGGCTGTTGACATATTTTATACTAACTTATACAATATTATTGAAGAATTCGTTCCTAAAAGACAAAAGAGAATAGTGAACAGCACCAAATATCCTGTGTGGTATACACAAGAAATCAGAAATATTAAAAACAGGAAGCAAAAAGCACACAAGGCGTATAAAAAGTTTAAAACGTCACAAAATTTAGAAAAATACGTTGAAATTTGCGGAGCACTTGAGGCAGAAATATCGTCAGCATATGAGAATTACAATTCAAGAGTAGAGAAAAATATAAAATCAGATCCCAAAACGTTCTTTAACTTCGCGAACGAAAAAATGAAGTCATGTACATTCCCATCACGCATGCAGTTTGAAGAGTGTGATAGCACTGATAGTGAGGATATTTGTAACCTATTTGCTCGTTTTTTCCAAAACACATATAAGAAATCCAGTAATGCTCTCGATTTGAACTATTTTTCTTACCTACATGAAGGGGAAAATGACGTATCAGTTAAAAATATCACTGTTAAAGAAATTTTTATGACTTTTGAAAGTCTCGATGCTGGCAAAGGACCTGGTCCTGATGAAATACCTCCATTTTTATTGAAAAAAATAGCAACAAGTTTTGTTAAACCATTGTTTTGGCTTTACAATTTATCTCTCAAAACAGGTGATTTTCCAAAAATTTGGAAGAAATCATTTTTAGTTCCAATATTTAAATCTGGCAAACGGTCAGATATTAAAAACTATAGAGGTATTGCAATTATGTCATGCATTCCTAAAATGTTTGAAGCAATTGTTAACCAGAAAATATTTAACCAGGTTAAGCATCGCATTTCAAATAATCAACATGGTTTTTTTAAAGGTCGGTCAACGTCTACTAATCTGTTGGAATTTGTAAACTTTTCTATTGAAGCAATGGATAGAGGTAATACCGTTGAAACCTTATACACTGACTTTAGTAAGGCCTTTGACAGAGTAGACATTCCCTTACTTCTTTTTAAATTAAAACGTTTAGGTATGACAAGTACACTTTTAAAATGGATTGGATCATACTTGACAGAAAGAACACAGATGGTCCGCTTTAAAGGAAAAATATCTTCGCCAGTCAATGTTACCTCGGGAGTTCCACAGGGATCTCATTTAGGTCCTTTATTATTTATTTTATTTGTGGATGACGTGAAGTTTGTGTTAAATCGTTTAAATGTGCTCATATATGCTGACGATATGAAACTGTACATGGAAATCTTTGACAATTCTGATTTGCTACATTTTAAAAATGAAATTGATGTTTTCTACAACTGGTGCGTTAAAAGTCTGCTGGATATTAATGTTAAAAAATGCAATATTATATCATATTCCAGAAAAAACACTACTCTAGATTTTACATGTACTCTAGGAAACCAGCTGGTTGTAAGGTGCGATAAAATAAGGGACTTAGGAGTAATTCTTGACTCGAAGTTGACATTTGTAGATCATGTGAATACCACAATTCACAAAGCAAATAATATGTTGGGATTCATAAAAAGATTTAGTTATCATTTTAAAGACCCATATACCATCAAAACACTTTATATAGCTTACGTGAGATCAATTCTCGAATACTGCAGTGTGGTTTGGGCTCCATACCATGAAACTTATATAAATCGTATGGAATCAGTTCAAAAACAGTTTTTGTTATTTGCTCTTAGGAAACTAGGCTGGACCTCTTTTCCCCTTCCTTCTTATGAGTCCCGTTGCATGTTGATAAACATTGAAACACTTAAGAAACGAAGAGAAATTTCCATGATTTCCTTTGTCAATGATATTATCTCACAACGCGTAAATTCAGAAAAAATATTAGCAAGATTAAATTTTTACGTACCATCACGCATGTTAAGAACTCGAAATGTATTTCAACTGTCACCTCACAGAACGAATTATGGTAAAAATGGACCAATTAATAGAATGATGAGAGTGTATAATAATTATTGTGAGCATATAGATCTAACGATGTCTAAAGATACAGTAAGGAGAACACTAACTGCTAGGATTTCATCTCGTTAAGTTTAAAACAATTTTTATTTTTTAGATATTTGTATATGCAGTCTACATTTGCCGACAATTTCAAATAAAACGTATGTTTTAAAATAGCATGTAAGGCAACAGCACTATTGTAAAACGGTCTACACTGATTGACGACAAATAAACAAATAAACAAATAAACAAATTTTGACTAAATTCCTAGGCAGTTCTGAATTAAGTTCCAAGGGATTGTGAAAGGAGTTTTAGTTGCATTTTAAAGAGATTTAAAGGGAATTACAAAATCAATTTTAAATGAATACTGATTAGGATTCTATGTGAATCGAATCATCCGGAAAGTTCCAAAGAAATTCTGAAGAGAGTGTTAAGGAAATTCCGAGATCCTATGGAGGAATCTGAAGAGAGTTCCAACGAAATTTGGAGAAGAGTTCCAAGTTTAAAAATATGACCAAATGTTGATGTTCTACGATTTTTGTAAATGTTTAAGTTTCATTTAAGTTTGCATTTTTATGAGCATTTTAAGCATAAATTATAAATATTGAAGACACACCTTTTGAGATATTTCAGTTCATTTCAGCAAAAAACAAACTGTATATTTTCCCCAGAAAGACTTGTCTTTTCTAAACAACTTTGTCTCAGACGTCATTTCAATCAGACATAACATTTTTGCGCTACAATTGATTTAAAAAATGTAAATGACGCCATTTTGAAAAAAAAATACAAGATCCAAAATGGCCGAACTTTTGCAAAAATGTGAATGACAACCCATAACACACAATTATGCTAAATTTCATGTAAATCGGAGAAGGTCGACCCTAAGCTACAGTTCGTACAGTTCAAGCGGCGTCTATAGGTTTTACATTTCGAAACCTCTAGAAAATGTTGTACAAAATTGCTGAATATTCTTACTTACCTAAATGGAAATTAAAAATCCATTCTAATAAAACCTAAAGTTACCGATGAAATAAAATACTTTCAAAGCCCCCCTCACCGTAGGCGCCACTGCTTCTGTTTGCACTGTGTTCGACTGCACGCAAGTGCAGGCAGCAGCGGAATAATTAATCGGTAATTTATTGGAACCACTAGAGGTCGCCATAGTTATCCTCGCCGCCGCCACACCGCTGTCATTTACTTGTCGTTGTTGTTGTTTTCAGTTTTATCTCGTAAACAAGCAGCTTTACCGAATGCATCACGGCGGCGACGATTGCTTTGGATTGGAATCGATGAATGAAACGACCTACACACTACAACAGCTTACAAAAGCCAATCGCCTGCGACCCCTGCCTGACGACAACTGAGACAGACGACGGCGCGGGGCAGCACAGGGCCTACTTAGCAGCGACTGTCTGTCAGTCGTGTCGCCGCTCGTGGGTTCCAATCCGCGTTCTATTATTTATTTAACATACGAAATGTTAATAAATTCATACGGTGAATTCTTAAAACGACGAAACACGCGTCTGTCACACACACAAACACACCATTTGGTGTCGATTGTTTGCTTTTGTTTTGTTGAAAGTAACTGGGTGACGACGACGAGGACGCAAAACCGTTATTGAAACACGCGACGTGCGATCTGTCATAAAGTTGCGGAACGGGTTCGAAATGTGTTGATCACGCACAGGCCCAAGAGTAAACAATACTTTCCAAAGTAAATAATTATGTTTGAGTTGTTTTTTTTTTTTCAAACGAAACCTAACAGAATCCGGTAACTGAAGCCGGTCGCAAACTTACCTCACCGCCTCGAGACTGTCCCGCTCGACGGCCCGGTGCAGCGCGGTGGCTCCGTCCCGCGTCCGGTAGTCGAGCAGGGCCCCACCGTTGACCAGGGCAATTAGCAGCTTGTTGGGCTTCTTCGTTCCGGTGGCGATCGTCAGGGGCGTTTCGCCCGTTTCCTGACAGTGGAAGTTCGGATCGAGTCCTTTGGCACACATCTTGGCAACCTTCTCCACGTGACCCCCGTTGATGCACTCCAGGAAGCGCCGCAGATTGGCCCGGGTATGCAGGGCCTTCAGCTGCCGCTCGTCCAGGTTCAGCATCTTGTACACCCGGCGTTTGTATTTGAGCTGGAAGAAAGAGGAAAAGCTCATTAAAATTAGCGATAGAATTAATTAGAGCCGCAGACGACGCGCCGTGACAGAGTCGGCGCGGATCAATAATAAACCGTAGCGTGGTCAATCGCCTGCTTCAGGTTAAGGCCCAGCAGGCTTTGGTATGTAGAAATCTTTTATGTCGTGATTTGCCTTTCATTCGATCTTAATGATTTTGCACTTGCCTTCATCTAGTAGGCCTTTTGTTCGACGGCAGCGCTCGGCGCACTCAAGGAAGGTATTCAGCGTGTCGTTAGACCAGCTCCACTGCACGAGTCGCTGGATATCGGCCTTTCGCGGGGACTCGGATTGCAAGACAAGTGGCCCAATGTCCATAGATAATGTGCATATAGGAATATAGGGATAAAGGAGGAGCTGCAGCGTGATTAACACAATACACATGATGATGTACATATTTGCTGTTGTTGGTTGAAAGCAGTAGACAGCAGAATGGCTTGATCGAAATGGATGTTGACCTCATTCGGGGGGCTTCTTGAGATCTCTGTAGTGCACTGAAGCTGGTGAGGATAGTTCGGTCGTTATCGTCACTCTGGCCCTTCGTTCGCTTTAAAGTGCTTCTCATCCGCGGAGACGGAAGTGTTGCAGTGGATGAAAGTAGGTGTTGGAAATTTGATTGCTATCTCGCAATAATCAAAAAACTCATAGCTCATAGCATAGTCGTTTTTAGTTATTTGAATTTTTACCCAAAATTACTTGAAATTTTTTAATCGTGTATATTTGTGTAAAAAGCAATTATTGTCTCATACAAGTTTACCTCAGACGCCATTTCGATTGGAAGCGATGGCTCCGAGTTATAATTTGTAGAAAAATTTCGAATACGCCATTTTGAAGATTTTTTTGCAAAATTCAAAATGGCCAAGTTTTTGCTGAAATGTGAATGATTGACCATAACAAGCTATTTTGCTAAGCTATTTTTTTTTATATTTGGCCTGGAAATGATCGATGCAGATTAATGATGGAGCAAAACCTTATTTTAACTACTGAAAATTGCATGAATTTATTGAAAGTTTTGTCGACTGCCGGAAGTTCTATGAGCTGGTCGGAAATTCTATGGACATTTAGGAAGTTCTATGAACGTCGCGAAAATTCTATTAACTGCTGGGAAGTTCTATGTTCATCTCAGAAGTTTCATGCTCATCTTGGAAAATCTATGAGACCTTAGGAAGGTATAGAATAACCTTCACAGAAGTTCTATGAACTGCTCGGAAATTCTATGATCACCTCGGAAGTTCTATGAGAATCTCTGAAGTTCTATGAACACCTCAGAAGTGCTGTGAACTGCTCGGAAGTTCTATGAACATATCAGTAGTTCTATGAACTGCTCTGAAGCTATGGACATATCGGAAGTTCTATGAGAGTTTTGGAAGTTCTATGAACATCTCGGAAGTTCGATGATTTATTCAAAAACTCTGAGTACTGCTCGGAAGATCTATGAACTACTTAGAAGTTCTATGAACTACTTGGAAGTTCTATGAACTACTCGGAAGTTCTATAAACTGCTTGGAAGTGTTATGATCATCTCAGAAGTTTCATGCTCATCATAGAAGTTCTATGAGAGTTTTCGAAGTTCTGGAATAAACTTCTCGGAAGTTCAATAAACTGCTCGGAAATTATATGATCATCTCGGAAGTTCTATTAACATCTCGGAAGTTCTATGAGAATCTCTGAAGTTCTATGAACACCTCGGAGGCTCTGTAAACACCTCGGGAGTTCTAAAAAGATCTTGAAAATTGTCTTGTCGACTGCATGAAGTTCTATAAACTGGTCGGAAATTCTAGGGACATTTCGGAAGTTATGTGAACATTTCGAAAGTTCTATCAACTGCTGGGAAGTTCTATGATCATCTCAGAAGTTTCACGCTCATCTTGGAAGATCTATGAGAGTTTAGGAAGTTATAGAATAACCTTCACAGAAGTTCTATGAACTTCTCGGAAATTCTATGATCATCTCGGAAGTTCAATGAGACTTTCCAAAGTTCTATGAACACCTCAGAAGTGCTGTGAACTGCTCGGAAGTTCTATGAACATCTCGGAAGTTCTATGAACTGATCGGAAGTTCTATGGACACCTCGGAAGTTCTATGAGAGTTTTGGAAGTTCTATGAACATCTCGGTAGTTCTATGAACTATTCAAAAGCTCTAGGTACTGCTCGGAAGTTCTGTGAATATCTCGAAAATTTTATGAACTGTTCTATGAATGTTCTATGAGCATCTCAGAAGTTTCATGCTCATCTTTTGTAAGTTCTATGAAAGTTTTGGAAGTTATAGAATATGATCATCGCGAAAGTTCTATGAGAATCTCTGAAGTTCTATGAACACCTCGGAAGTACTGTGAACTGCTCGAAGGTTCTATGAACATCTCGTAAGTTCTATGCTCATCTCGTAAGTTCTATGTACTGCTCGGAAGTTCTATGAACTGCTCGGAAGCTCTATGAATATCTCGGAAGTTCCACTAGAGTTGTTGAAGTTCTAGGAACTATTCAGAAGCTCTAGGTACTGCTCGGAAGTTCTATCAAATTCTCGGAAGTTTTATAAACTACTGGGAAGTTCTTTGGACTACTCGGAAGTTCTATGAACTGCTTGGAAGTTCTATGATCATCTCAGAAGTTTCATGCTCATCTTGGAAGTTCCATGAACATCTCGGAAGATATATGATAGTTTTGGAAGTTATAGAATAATATTTTCGGAAGTTCTATGAACGTCTAGAAAGTTCTATGAGAAGCTCTGAAGTTCCATGAACATTTCAGAAGGTCTATCAACATCTCTGAACATCTATGAAATGCTCGGAAGTTTTATGAACTACTCGGAAAGTTTATGAACATCTCGGAAGATCTATGCACTGCTCGGAAATTTTAGGCCGCCTCGAAAGTTCCATGAATATCTCGAAAGTTCTATGAACTGCTTGGAAGTTCTATGATCATCTAAGAAGTTTCATGCTTATCTTGGAAGTTCCATGAACAGTTCTGTGAAATGCCCGGAAGTTCTATGAACATCTCGGGAGTTCTACAAGCTTCTCGAAAATTATATAAATTTCTTAAACTCCTGTCGACTGCATGTATGAAACCGTCGGAAGATCTAGGGACATTGCGGAAGTTCTATGAATATTTCGAAGGTTCTATTATCTGCTCGGAAGTTCTATGAACCACTCGGATTTGATTTTAATAAAGACAATAATAATAATACACCTCGGAAGATCGATGAACATCTCGGATGGTCTATCAACTACTCGGAAGTTTTACGAACAACTTGGAAGTTCCTTGAACTGCTCGGAGATTTTAGAACATCTCGGAATTTCCATGAACATCTCAAAAATGTTATGAACAGCTTGGAAGTTCCATGAACTGTCCAGAAGCGCTAGGAACTGCTCGAAAGTTCTATTAAGTTCTCGGAAGTTCTATGAACTGCCTGGAAGTTCTATGAACTGCTCGGAAATTCTATGATCAGCTCAGAAGTTTCTTGCTCATCCTGGAAGGTCGTAGAACTACTTGGAATTTTTACGAACATCTCGGAAGTTCCATGAACATCTTAGTACTTCCATGAACATCTCGGAAGTTCCACGAACATCTTGGAAGTTCCATGAACTATCTAGAAGCTCCATGAACTGTTCAGAAGCTCTATTAAGTTCTCGGGAGTTCTATTTACTGCTCGGAAGCCCTATGAACATCTCATAATTTCTATTAGAGTTTTGGAAAATCTATGGACTGCTCGGAAGTCCTATGGACATCTCAGAATTTCCATGCAAATCGCGGAAGCTCTATGACCATTTTGGAAGTTCAGTGAACTGCTCAGAAGATCCATGAACATCTCGAAAATTCTATGAATTTCTCTAAAGTCTCGCGAGGTCTATCAACATCTATGAACTTCTCGGAAGTTCTAAGAACTGCTCGAAAATTCTAGAATATCTCGGAAGTTCCACGAACATCTTGGAAATTCCATGAACTATCCAGAAGCTCCATGAACTGTTCAGAAGCTTTATTAAATTCTCGGAAGTTCAATTAACTGCTTGGAAGCCCTATGAACATCTCATAATTTCTATGAGTGTTTTGGAAAATCTATGGACTGCTCGGAAGTTCTATGGACATTTCATAATCTCCATGCAAATCGCGGAAGCTTTATGAACATTTCGGAAGTTCAGTGAACTACTAAGAAGATCTATGACCATCTAGAAAATTCTATGAATGTATCTAAAGTCTCGGGAGGTCTATCAACATCTCTGAAGTTCTATGAACTGCTCGAAATATCTAGAACATCTCGGAAGTTCCACAAACATCTTGGAAGTTCCATGAACTATCCAGAAGCTCCATGCACTGTTCAGAAGCTCTATTAAATTCTCGGAAGTTCTATTAACTGCTCGGAAGCCCTATGAACATCTCATAATTTCTATTAGAGTTTTAGAAAATCTATGGACTGCTCGGAAGTTCTATGGAAATCTCAGAATCATCATGAAAATCGCGGAAGCTCTATGAACATTTCGGAAGTTCAGTGAACTACTCAGAAGGTCTATGACCATCTAGAAAATTCTATGAATGTATCTAAAGTCTCTGGAGGTCTAACAACATCTCTGAAGTTCCATGAACATCTCGGAAGTTCTATGAACTGCTTGAAAATTCTAGAACATCTCGAAAGTTCCACGAACATCTTGGAAGTTCCATGAACTATCCAGAAGCTCCATGAACTGTTCAGAAGCTTTATTAAATTCTCGGAAGTTCTATTATCTGCTCGGAAGCCCTATGAACATCTCATAATTTCTTATTAGAGTTTTGGAAAATCTATGGACTGCTCGGAAGTCCTATGGACATCTCAGAATCTCCATGCAAATCGCGGAAGCTCTATGAACATTTCGGAAGTTCAGTGAACTGCTCAGAAGATCCATGAACATCTCGAAAATTCTATAAATTTCTCTTAAGTCTCGGGAGGTCTGTCAATATCTCTGAAGTTCTATGAACTACTCGAAAATTCTAGAATATCTCGGAAGTTCCACGAACATATTGGAATTTTCATGAACTATCCAGAAGATCCATGAACTGTTCAGAAGCTTTATTAAATTCACGGAAGTTCTATTAACTGCTCGGAAGCCCTATGAACAGCTCATAATTTGTATTAGAGTTTTGGAAAATCTATGGACTGCTCGGAAGTTCTGTGGACATCATCGCAGAAGATCTATGAACATTTCGGAAGTTCAGTGAACTACTCAGAAGATCTATGAACATCTCGAAAAAACTATTAATTTCTCTAAAGTCCTGTGAACTGCACGAAAGTTTTATGAACTGGGGAAGGGGATGCTGAATATCAATACAAAGAATTCGTGTTGGAGCTCTTTGAACTTGTCGGAAGCTCTATGAATATGTCGGAAGTGCAGTGAACTTGTTGGAAGTGCAGTGAAATTGTAGTAAGATAAGTGAACTTGCCGTAAGTTTTAAGAAACTTGTCGGAAGATCTATGAACTTGTCGGAAATTTTGTGAACTTGCCGGACTTGTCGGAATTTTGTTGAACTAGTTGGAAGTTCTGAGCACTTTTCGGAAAATCTAAATATGGCGGAAGTTCAGTGAACCTGTCAAAAGTTCTGTTACCTTGTCGATAGATCTCTGAATCCTTTGGACATTTTTCAAGACATCAAGTTGATCAGGTATTATTCTGAAGATCAACATCCGATCAACAATTCAACTAATTCTCTCAGATATTCTCTCAAGATATCAGCATGACCAGGAATTATTCCAAAGGCCTTAAGATGGTCAAACACCTCCATAAAGTAATTTGGATATTTTTTCAAAACTTCAGCTTGGTCAAATATTATTCTGAAGATCATCAACTGTCCAACAGTTAAAGTCATCTCCATATAGTCCTTTGGATAATTTTTCAAGACTACAGGTTGATCATGTTATAGATCTCCAACATTCCATCATTACGAATTATGTCTCCAGGATATTTTCTCAAGATATCAGGATCATCAAAAATTATTCCAAAGATTTTCAGTGGATCAAAGATCTGCATAAAGACCTTTGGACCACGGGTGGGTCGTGGGCTGCCAACTTGGTCATTTTCTAAATTGTATGTAGAATTTTTCGTATTTTTAATTTTTTTGGAGATATTTGGATAACAATTTAATCGTTTCAAAATAATTTAATTAAATTTAATAATTATGAAAAGTTTGATTTTAGAGATTATTATACTATTTGGCTGGCTGATAAAAGGACTTACGGACAATATGGCTTGATTATAGATACTTGAGGCCATTTTAGCGTTTTCAAAGACCATTCTAGCGTTCTGAAGCCTTTTCGCAAACTAAGGTTATTTTGACGTTGGAAGTTGGCCAGTAGGCGGTTTTTTAACATTTCAATATATTGAGGTGCTTTTCTAATTAGTTATACCTCTATATTGACTTATGTGACTCGATGACTCTTGCAGTGCTTTCAAATCTTTTCAGCACATTTCAACTCGTTTTGGACTGTTTGGTGTTTTTAAGCTGTTTCTGGGTTTCAGGATATCATGCAATTTGAAGGTTTTGTTTGCATTTTATAGCCATTTTGGAATGGAAGATCATTTTGGCATTACATTCAATATTGGTGGATCGAGAGCTTACAGCATTTCTCAAAGTGGGTCGCAATCGAAAAAAGTTTGAGAACCGCTGAAAACGTAAAATTAGCTCGAGAAAACCCGCAAAAATGACACCTCAGGAAATAAGTATTTTATTTTCCATAAAGACCTATACTGCCGTTCTACGCATAACTGTCCCATGTTTTATGCAATCCTTATGCACCGTGGGACTCTTATGCGTATAACGGCAGTATACTACGCCAAAAAGGCACTAATTTGAAAATAGCTACTTTGGGTGTACCCCCGGTGTTTGTCTTTTTCATCAGTATGTCGCTTAGTTCGAGATCAAGAGCACATTTCTCTCCAAACCTTGTGTTCTCAATCCCTACCCTGCCATCCATTTATTACAACTTGTTACCCATAACCTCGAGATAGCCACGAGTAATCGGCCCCCGCTTTACTAACGCTAGTTTAAAGTTAGTTCTGTGATCTAAACAATGTGTATCGGCTCCGCAAAGCTACAGCAAATGAGCCTGGAAAAATAAACGCATTATTAAGAAAATAGCTAGTTATGCAACAAGTTGCAAAAAGATGATTTTTTCAGCACGAGTCGTAGGTTATCCAACGAGGCTTGCCGGGGTGTGCATAGGGTCTTTTTTTTGAGGCAATGAACACCCTAATATTTATATAAAGAAAATGACAAGATACAATTTTGAAATTGAAACTCACCTCCAGGTAGCCAACGGGCCCGTTGAACGGGTAGTCACCCAGTCTTCGTTCCTCGTCCAGAAACTTTCCCGCTTTGCCATTGGACGGCGGACAAAACAGGCCGTAGTTGAAGCTTTCCTTCAATTCCTGAAAAGAGCAAACAGAAAACGAAAATCCTATTAATTCCTAAACTGGCAACATTTTTTTCTTCTACTCGACTCGACGCAACTCATTTGACGGCGATTAGATCATCACGTTCAAGGTTTTTTTTTTCTTACCCCCGCACATATACAATAAAAATGTCTTCTGACGACGATGTCAAGACCAAAAAGCGCAAGCATTGCACATTGTTGGAGGGAGATCCGGTGTGTCGTGTGTTCGCACCTCCGCATAACCGCGCGTGGCATAAAATGTTGCAAATAAATCACGAGACGTTCCCACCTTCGGCTACCCACGAGGATCTGCTGGTGCTGATGCAGCAATCAAGATCTGTAAGACTGGCGAAGAAAATCGAATTTCATGGATGGTTGCGCACTGACACATCACCCCCGGCCCAGCATCAAATTTGTCGTCTAGGAACGAAACAAAAAGGTGTGGCGGTAACAGTCTAAGATACCGATTTAAATTTCTGTAGAGATGTTTGCGATTTCTTCAAATTTCAACGGAAACGATAGTTTCAGTGTAAACAAATGTGCAAACCTGCCTACTGCGACGGACCACACGAGTAGAAGAATTTCCCGGAGCCGATCGAAGTAACCCGACTTTTTTGCATTGTCCGCTTCTATGTGTTTACACTTTGTTTTTCGCTTGCCAAAGGCATTTTGACAGATGCTGATCAGCACCATCAATTCGAATAGGTATCAATCCGCCTCAGGAGAAGAAAATGCTGACTGACGACGTCAACCCACGACGATCGATTTGCAGCGCTTGATTCTAAACAAAACATCCGTTTGTTTCATTCGAGTTTAATCAACCCTAAACGATACGTTTGCTGCTGTTGCACAATCGGTTCCCGTCTTTGAATCGAATGACACATGCGGTCTTCATCGTCGTCGTCGTCTCCGGTTGGTCGATCCGGTGTCAATTTGCGCTTAGTAGCGGTTTCACTTTTCACTGTCCATCCGCGGCAAATTGTTGGGTTGAGATTCACGCTGAATCGGCGCCACCGTCCATATAGATTTCTCCGAAACCGGAATGAAAGACTCAATTAAAAAGACAAAAGAAAAAGAATAGTCGTGCGGCAATTAATGGCCTTTTTAGGGAGGAGAGAGGCTTAAAAACAGCAGCAGCAACAATGTGAGGCACAATTCCAGTTAATTTTCACGCTCTTGTGTAATCGAAATTTGTATCGTTTCAAATGATCCAAGCATGCTTCGTTTTGCTGACCGGCAGCAATCCGATTAGAAATTTACGTTCGATTGACGTTTCGATGTCTGCATCAACATCAAAATGTGGGATTTGGCTGTCGTAGAGGTCCGAAGAATGAAATGAACGACGGTCAAGAACCGGGACGGCCCAGGAGCAGACCCGGGGATGGCGTCAAGAGCAGAATGGAAATGTTATAGGCCATTAAAACTTGGCCTTTGCGGCCATCTGGAAAAAAATGCTGATGATGCAGATTTCGAAATTTTGCACGGTGAGGTATGGGATTAAAATTTTAAAATGCTTCTATTTCTCCTTTAAAGCTTTTATTATTTTTCCGATGATTTACGACGGATAAAAACTCAAGGCCTACTCACTAGACGTATTCAGAAATTCCAGTGAAGGAAAACCGTTGATCCCCGGTCCATGAGTTGATGGGTCGATAGGTACATGTAAATTTAGGTGCTCTGAGACTGACATATACGAGCGTCAATTTTGACATAAAATTGAGTCATAATAGACGTGAAATTCAGCTCAATCAAACGTACTCTAGAACTTTTCAGTCTCGAAGCACTTAACTTTACATGACATGTTTGTTTACGTCTCATTCTTTATGTCAAAGTTGGATTCCGTCACGTGTAAGATTAGGTATTTCTAAGTGTGTAGGATTCAGGTATGAGAGCTGCCTCCCTGGCGTCGGTAGCATTGGTACTCAGTACGGAAAACAATATCGATTTCGAAGTTAACAAAACATCGCGCTTCGCGATTAGCACTGGAATAAATCAATCATTTTGGAAAATTATCACGATCTAAGACTAGAAAATCTTTCGAAATTCTGAGACATTCCTTAATTGTTAAAATCTCACACTTCATTTTTTGTATTCCGTACTAAGAAAAAGATAAAAATTCCAAACTTGAAGAAATATTCAAGATTCTAAGATAAATATTCGAGAATAATGGACATAGATTTTTTCCTGGAGGCGGACCAGCCCCAGGCTGAAAACCTCCTTAACAGGGCTGGAAAGCGCCTCAGAGCGTTTGCAAAGCAACTTTGTGCATGCATCTCCCAACACTCGACAAAGAGTGTGTGGTGCTCCCATTTACTTCGCACACTCTTTTCCAACTAATCTGTGAGAAAGCGATCCACACAATGAGCGGTACACTCCGTGCGGCGCAGGGAGCGAATATAATACAGCAAGCGCTAATGTCTTTTTTTAATCATTTGCATACTTGGCTTACCACGACTGCATGAATAGGAGATGAAGAAGAGCGTAACACTGAGTGGCACTTTTTGCGTCGGAGCCGTCGGAGCGATGGCTACACATTGAATTTTCGTTATTTCTGTGTGTGTGTCTGTTCTCTCTTCTCCGCTGCTTTACACTTGCGCAGGGTGAAAGACAAGCAAACTTTGTGTTTGCTTGATTCTCACTTTGTTTATTTCAGAAAATCAAGACATTGCGCACATTGAGTGATGAGATGACAGCCCTGCTCCTTAATAAAGAAAACATAACCTAACCTGGACTTAGAATGTCTATTAGCAAAATTCGATTAACTCTCAAATCCCCAACGCCAAAAACTTCCCCATTATAATTCAAAATATTTTCGGAATAAAAATATTTCTTCAAAATCCTATAAAACTTATCAAAAGATGGATCGATAAAAATCTGTTCAGTAGTGACAGAGTTATGATAGATTTGGCATTTTTCAGTATCAGACGTTGGGGGTTTGAGAGTTAAAACCAGGGCCCAACAAAGTCACTTTCAATTGAAAATCGTCAAGCCCCGACGAAGCTGTCAACCACCACTTTCAATTGAAAGTCATTCTGTCTTCTCTTCGAGCATATCCCCTTCAACATCAACAGTACCACTTTCATTTCGTCTTCCATTGTCAAATGAGCTTACTTTCGCATTGAAGCGAAGCTATTTGATCCAAATTCGTGCTGTTTTCCTGACTTCTGTTGATTGTTCACTCGGGTAATTTTCAGCGCATGTGCAAAAGATCTGTGCACGTGGATGTCGAATTTTTCATTGTCGGGTGGTTTGTTTAACCATCAATATGGGTATTTGTGACATCGGGGTGACGCCAAATTGAAATTCAAGATGGCGGCTTCCAGTTTAAGAAAAAGTGGGAAATACTGTCAAATACCCATCAATATTGGTATTTTTGGAACCGGGATGCTGTCTAGAGAATGAAAATTGAATTCCGACGCCATTTTGAAATCCAGGATGGTGGCTTCCGATTTCAGAAAAAGTGGGAAATAGTGTCAAATACCTATCAATATATGTATTTTTGGAATCGCCATGTCATCTAGGGATTGGAAATAGATAAGCGACACCATTTTGAAATCCAAGATGGGGGCTTCCGGTTCGAGAAAATGGGGAAATACTGTCAAATACCCAACAATATTTTTGGAATCGGGATGACGTCTAGGGAATAAAAATCGATATTGATATTTTTTCAACCGGGATGCTGTCTAGAGAATAAAAATTGAATTCCGACGCCATTTTGAAATCCAAGATGGCGGTTTCCAATTTCAGAAAAAAAAGTGGGAAATACTGTCAAATACCCATCAATATGGGTTTTTTTAAATCGGGGTGACGTCTGGAGGCTGAAAATCGATATCCTACGTCATTTTGAAATCCAAGCTGGCGGCTTCCGATTTCAGAAAAGGTGGAAAATTCTGATGCCGACCCATCAATATGGGTATTGACATCTAGAAACTGAAAATTGATATTCGACGTCATTTTGAAGTCCAAGATGGCGGCTTCCAGTTTAAGAAAAAGTTGGGAAATACTGCTAAATACCCATCAATGTGGGTATTACGATATCCCAGTACCGTCTAGAGGTTAGTTACCAATCTAATATGGAGAGATTGGTTCAGAAAAAGTGTGAAATACTATCAAATACCGATCAATGTGCATATTTTTGGAATCGGGGTGATATCTAGAGGCTGGAAATCGATGTCCAACGTCATCTTAAAATTCAAGATGGTGACTACCGATTCCAGAGGAAGTGTCAAATACTCTACAAATGGCGTTGAATATTGATTCTCCGTTCCGAAAATACCCAGATCTTAGTGTTTTTGACACTTTTTCTGTAACCCGATGGCCGCCATCTTGGATTCCAAAATGGCGTCAAATATCGATTTTTGGCGTCTACGTGTCGTCCCCGTTCCGAAAACACCCATATTTTAGGGTATTTGACAATTTTCTGAAACCTGATAGCCACCATCTTGGATTACAAAATGGCGTTGAATATCGATTTTCGGCATCTACATGTCGTCCCCCTCCCTTATCTTAGGGTATTTGATACTTTTTCTGAAATCCGATGAACACCATCTGGATTCCAAAATGGCGTCGAATATCGATTTTGGGCATCTACATACATTTCATCCCCGTTCCAAAAATACCCGTATCTTAGGGTATTTACGAGGGGGGCGACACATCTACATCTCAATTCTAAATGCTCAAAAAATCTCACCCTAGCGAATCAATCTTCGAAAAATCATCTTTCATTTCTCGCATCTACTTGCATCGTGCTTCATATTTCTGCAGGAAATCTTCAAAATCGACATAAATCTTCCTTCTATCTACTCAGCGTGCGTGCAGCTAGCCACAGCAAAACACAATCTTTTCTGCATCGTAGATAGAGTCGTCCCCCTCGGGTATTTGACACTTTTTCTGAGCCCGATGGCCGCCATATTGGATTCCAAAATGGCGTCGGACATTGATTTTCTGCACCTTCGGGTCGTCCCCGTTCCAAAAATACCGATATTGTAGTGTATT